TGTAAGGTTTCGAGGCAAGTAATGATGGTAGAGTTACAAGATACGAGCTAGATGGTGTTGAGATTGCTAAGTCGGATTGCGAAAGGGGATCTGGGAGTTATGATTAGTAAGAATTTAAAACCAAACAATCAATGCATAAATGTTCGTAATAAGGCAAATAGGACATCGGGATTTATTTATCAAAGTGTTAGTAATAAGTTGCTTGGACATGCATAAGAGTGGGATTGAGTGGTTATAAATAGGTGCTGCCTCGTTTGGTTACCTTGAGGTTACCTTGAAAGGATTCCGGGGCTTAGCGACACCGCGGCCCGGTCGTCGACCAGGCCTCCTGGTTGCAGGACTGGTCAACCAGGCTGTTGGACCCGGCTGCTCGCAGCCTGACGTATGAGTCACAGCCTGGTTGATCAGGTAACCTTTGGAGGTGTTTGTCAAGGTCTCTCTTGAACACTGCGAGGGGTCGGCCAGTTATGCCCCTTATGTGTAGCGTAACTACAATAGGCCTTCTGCAGTTACTTTTATTCTTATGTTCTTATCCTCTTTATACTGTCTGAAGGTCCGTGAGACATTAGCACTGCTCTAATACAGAAAATATTGGGAGAATGGCAATGTAGAACACAACAGTTCAGGAATCTTGCCTCTATTTATATTCACGTGTTGGCTTTATCCACATGTGTGATTTAAAGTTTTGGCTTTATCCATATTTATGATCTGGTGTTGACTTTATCCACATTTATGATTTAAAGTGTTGGTTTTATCCACAATTCGGTAAGTTTTGATTACATAATTTAGTATATTTCCAGGAGTTAGGGGATTTATATTCTTAATCATCAATGTTATTATTATTATTATTATTATTATTATTATTATTATTATTATTATTATTATTATTATATATTCCAAACTTGTCCGAAACGTTATGCGTGCTAGTGGCTGTACAAGAATGCAAGAACTCTCTCTCTCTCTAAATTTCCTGAGAATTCAGTGGAATCCCAGGCTGTATAAGTTATACGGCGTGGTGGTGCAGGGGTAAGGTGGGCCACCTGGGCCCAGGTCGCCGGTGAGAGTAACCGCGTTGCTCCAATTTATTTCTACTTTCCATACGATGGCATTTAAACGTTATTAATAACATATAATTATTTGTTGTTTACTTAAATTTATATTGAAAAACGTTTAGTAATAATATTGCATTTGTAAATATCAATGTCTTCTGATATAGACACATTTTAGCCGAGACTCTACAATACTCATAGGGCCCAGCCGTGCGGATTAGGGCATTAAGGATGGACCCGGAGTGGTCACTGTCAACCTGCCCTTAATCCCTTAACTATCCAGCTCAGCCAAGGTTACCCCCCCCTCTCCCCTCACGACCACATCATCCACGTTTCTCGCACCCCCACTTCCACCCCAGTCCTACCAGCTCCCCCAGCCCTGCCAGCTCCCCCAGCCCTACCAGCTCCCCAGCCCTGCCAGCTCCCCCAACCCCTGCCAGCTCCCACCACCACAACACCCACCACTACCACAACACCCACCACTACCACAATACCCAGCATCCACCAATCATATATATATATATATATATATATATATATATATATATATATATATATATATATATATATATATATGTGTGTGTGTGTGTGTGTGTGTGTGTGTGTGTGTGTGTGTGTGTGTGTGTGTGTGTGTGTGTGTGTGTGTGTGGTAAACACAGAGGTCTCCTAAAAACCTTGGGACACTCCAATATCAACGATTTATCACTCTAGCTAAAGAACATAAGAATCAAAGAAACTACAAAAGGTATATTGATCTATACGTGGCAACTCCTATTTATACCCACCCAAACTCATTCATCTACAAGTCTAACCTGCGCTTGAAACAATCAATGGAGTTTGCGTTCCTGAGAAAGTATGTCATAGCCTGACTTATACTAATGACCTGAGGGAATGTCGCGTGGGCTAACGCTTGACTGCAGGTATATTTAGGAGAGTACAGATCCTAGTCCCAACTTGACGATTAAATGCCACCTCAGAACACTGAAAAGATTTACTGAACAAAAAAATTGTACCACTTACGGGCTATTCATGCCCGTACCACCTCTTGGGTGGCTTAATCTATATCAATCAATCAGTCCCAAGCATTACCACCACCACCACCACTCACTATGTGTATGTGTATCAGAATGTATAGTCAGTATGTGTATCTATGTACCGTTTAACCAGTTTAATGTTTACTTTAAACTTGCACACTTATAAATTCATTGGTAGACTCAATTATCAACGAATATGTGTACTCATAATCCTATGTAGCTTTGAACGTGTGTACCAGTGTACGTTTGAGCATGTGTGTCCAAGTGAATGTATGTACCTGTGTACGTTTGAGCATGTGTGTCCAAGTGAATGTATGTACCTGTGTACCTGTGTGTAATTAAGAGCTCATCATAAGCCAGTTGTCTCGCTCATCAGTACCTGTCAAAACTTCCAAGCTACTCAGGATTAAGGTAGGCCACCTCCCGTCTCCAAACTTACCTCACCTCCTCGCCCACCTCACAAGCAACCCCTACTTCCTTATCTGCCCTCCCCCCCCATCCCACTCCTATCTATAACCTACCCTCCTACTCCCAGTTCCCCCAGCACAATATTTCACCCTCTCCACCATCACTATACTACTGTGCTCCTCGACGTTTCGAACTTCAATCTTCTCTGATGCTTCCCTTCGATACCACCTTTCTTCCCTTATCTTTCTGTCTATACAGCCCTTTTCCTTCCTTTTCCCTCCCCCCATCCCTTCCCTACCCGGAACCTCATCTCCCCAAGGGTAGCATTAGGAGGCTTTAGGCCCAATATCCACATTTGTCACGGTGATCAGGAAGGTGTTGTGTCCAGAGGAGAGATTCAAATATTACACCCGTTAAAATGACCGCTACACCTTCCCATATGCCTTTATTCTTTTAAATATATTTTAATATTTGATGTCCAAGAATAGAGACGGATAATTCAACTGCTACTGGGACTTGTTTTCAACTCAGGTCGGAAGGGGCATTGTTAAATTACGTTAGCAGACAAATTACATAGACTTCCGAGATTAGACTAACGAGAGGTGAGGGGGAGCTAGTTAATCAATTTAGTATAAAAGTTGGGAAGAAATTAACAATGTATTTTAAAGTATAACAAGATATATGGGAACTTTATTTTGTAATGTTACAAAATGTGATACCTTGCAAGAATGTTTTTCATTACGAAGAAACAATTAACACCACCGGGGAAGGAATGCAACGAAGTGGTACAGTTCCACTGCAAAAGAGAGAGAATATGTACATGGCAGGACAGCTGAAGGGCAATATAGTGTATAAGTAGAAACTCTACATGTTTATTGTAATAGCTCGGTAGCTAAGGTCGCAAACAGACGTAGTCTTGACAATCAAGTACACTGATAACGGCACTGGACTGATAGCGGAGGGTACAAATAACGCCCTGAGCTACTCTATTCTTTTGGGATGTATTTTGTTATAAAAACATAAGAATCAAGGAAACTGCAGAAGGCCTATTGGCCCATTAGAGGCAGCTCCTATTTATATCCACCCAAACTCATTCATATATATGTCTATCCTACGCTTGAAACAATTAAGCGATCCTGCTTCTATTATGTTACGCGGTAATTGGTTCCACAAATAACCAACCTTGTTACCGAACAAGTATACAGTATACCCAAATCTTTCCTAAATTTAAACTTATCTAATTTATAACCATTTTTTTGTTCTATTGTGTTGATACTTTTATACCCTTTAATACCCTTTGCTATGCCCGTTCATCCACTTGTACACCTCACTCATGACACCCATAATTCTTCGCCTTTCTAGATAATGTAAATTAAGCTTTCTCAATCTCTCTTTACGTGAAAGGTTTCTAATTTGCGGGATTAACTTTGGCCTCCTACGCTGGACGTGTTCAAGTGAATTTATATCCATTCAATAGTACGGCAACCAAATCTGAACTGCATTATCTAAATGGAGCCTAACAAGAGCAAGATATAGTTGAAGAATAACACCAGTGGATTGATGAAGAATTACATCAATCGGCGGATTGAACGCCGATTAATAACGCTTCGATAAATATATCAAAGTGTCATATTTGCCTTATTTCGAACATTAATGCATTGATATTTTGGCTTTAAATTCATACTAATCACGACTCCAAGATCCCATTCGCAATCCGACTTCGCGCAATCTCAACACCATCTAGATCGTATCTTGTAATTCTTCATCATTACATAGCCTCAAAACCTTACATTTGTCAGCATTAAACGGCATTTGATCATTTCAAACCTCCTATTTTTGTAACATATATGTAATATGTATGTACTATTTTAAGTGATAGGCATATGTTTATGCCAACAAACTTACTTGAACTTGAATGTCACCTTTTGCTATTCTTGTTTCCTCCTGTAATTTGCACAGAACTCAGTTTTTTCTAGGCAATATCATCCTAGTGGGGGTTACTAGTTATTTGAATTGCGAACGCAGCATTAAATTCCTTAACTCTGTTTTTAACACAAGATGAGACACAGCTCATTCTCGTGGATGGTTCGGCAGTTTACGGGAACATAACACAAGAACATAAAAATTAAAAATTAAGGAAACTGCTGAAGGTCTATTGGCCCACACGTGTGTGTGTGGGGGGGGGGAAGTAAAAATACTAATATTTTATAGGATAATTACTGAACTGGTATTTAGATTAGGATTGAACAGAAAATCACTCTTCGAATTTTAATAAAGCATGTGTATTGTCTGTAATAGCGGGTACGTAATTGGTTAGATGGCAACTCGTTCCAGACGAAGCGACTTTACTGAGTAAAGAATACTCCTGATTGGCTGTATGGTCCAAAGCTCCGCCCTGCCTGGTTGACCTGACTGGGTGCGCTTATAAGGGTTGCGCTTGGAGGTTGTCGCTCATATCAGCGACACAGTTGTGACTGTAAGTCTACGTCTCCCAAGTTCATACTTTACAATGGAAAACACACAATTCAACAAGCCAAGACTCTCCTTTGGAATCGACGCTATCTTGGGGCTGGAGGCTTCGACCACTCTACTGCCAAGCCCCCCCAGCAGCCCCTCCAGGGTGAGTTCAGATGACAGCTGCAGCTCTGAGGACTCGGTAAAGGGTGACGTCTCCCCCAGACCAACACACCAGCCCTTAACACCTCCCGCCTGCCACCCTACACCCAAATCCCCTCACCACCATCCACACCGCTACCAGCCTTACGCCCGTCTTACTCAGCCCAGTACAGTACGCGTCTACCTGTCCGGGCCTGTCTTGCGCCGCCACAAGCCTAACAGGAAGCCTCGCACCCCTTTTACCTCAGAACAGCTCCTGGCGCTGGAGAAGAAGTTCCGGGAGAAGCCGTACCTGAGCATCGCCGAGAGGGCCGAGTTCTCCGCCTCCCTCAGCCTGACGGAGACGCAGGTCAAGATCTGGTTCCAGAACCGACGCGCCAAGGACAAGCGGCTCAAGGAGGCAGAGGTTGAACGTCTGACTAGGCCTCTGTACCCGGCCTACGGCGGCCTCCTGCCTCTGGGAGGCCACCTTTCTGCCCTCAGACTCCATCAGCCCATGATACCCTTCTTCAGATGATAATGTTGACTCGACAATTTGTCGAGTGTATCTCCAGCCTTGAAGAGCCCGCCCCAGGTCTGCCAGCCCTGCGACGACCCTCAACGGAAACTGATGGTGAGTGCTCTTTATTACTACTGTTAATGGATAGATTTTAGGGGCATGATTTTTATGCAGAAAAATCTACATCTAAAGCCTAACAGTGTTTACCGCGTAAGGATAAGAGTGCCTAGATTAACAGTGTGAGGATAAGAGTGCCTATATTAACAGTGTAAGAATAAGAGTGCGTAGATTAACAGTGTGAGGATAAGAGTGCGTAGATTAATAATGATAGGGTAAGAGCGCGTAAATTAATAGTTTAATAATTAACAGCACACAAACTAGCACCAAAACATTTTGACGGAAGGGGTGGGAAGGGAACTATTAGGCGAAAGTGTAATGCCATTACGACTATACAAGTAGCACAAGATTTGGGGCGGGAGGGGGAGGAATGGTGCCCAACTACTTGGACGGTCGGGGATTGAACGCCAACCTGCATGAAGTGAACGCTCTACCGTCCTGCCCATGTGATATAGGCACCATTCCTTACCCCTGTCCCATTCCAAATCTCTATCCTGATCCCATCCAAATGTTAAATAGTTGTAATTGCGAATATACGGAGAGGGTTACCAATTTATGACAATAATATTGTAAATACTAAAACAAAAATAGACAAATGCCCGCTACTCTACTTCTATTACGCGCCTTATTTACTACCACAAAATAAAAAAAACTTAAATACACAAATAGCCTGTTTGGATCTAATGGTCTGTTGCTGTTTGAAATTTGTAATAATTTGTTGTTAATTGTGAGGAGAGGAATATTTGAATCAGTTGAGAGGAAAGGAAGGCTTAGATTAGTTAAGAAGAATGTTTGGATTAAGTGAAAGGGAACGATTGCTTGGTTTAGTTTGAGAGAAAATGAATGATTGGTTTAGTTTGAGAGACAATGGATGATTGGTTTAGTTTGAGAGACAATAAATGATTGGTTTAGTTTGAGAGACAATGAATGATTGGGTTAGTTTGAGAGAAAATTAATGTTTGGATTAGTCTGAGGGAAAATGAATAACTATACAAGGACGGAAGTGCTTAGATGAGCTATGTGCGGTTATAAGCGCATGGATATAAACCTGTCTGCCAGCTTCCTAATGTCTTTGTTTGTTTCTCCACAGTAACGAGACATGTCTCTCCGTGCAGCAGCTACCGTCATTCCCGGTGACCCAGCTCCCACCCTGTCCACACTGGACGGCCACGCCCTGTCCAGTGGACGGCCCCACCTTGTCCACACTGGACGGGCACGCTCTACGGCCACGCCCTGTCTACATTGGACGGCCCCACCTTGTCCACACTGGACGCCCCCGTCTGATCTACTGACTTAACTCCTCCTCATGTGGATTCAGAGCACAAATTAATGTTACATCTATGTTTATTCTTAAAATAGATTGCATAAATATATATTTTTATTATTTGATATATATTCTTTTATTATTATTGTTATTGTTATTAAAAAAGAAATACACTATCCTATTTTTAATTATATTTATTTTCCTTCAGCGTCTCTCCTAATTGTCTTGTTCTTTTCAAATGTATTTTAAAAAAATGTACACAAAATTAAAGTGATAAATATCTCAAGAATATATTTGTAGACTTTTCTTAAGGCTTTTAACACAAGCGTAGACTGGATGGGAAGGACTACATTTACTGGCCATAACGGATGCCAGCATAATGGTGCAGTTCAACGTGCACATCCTTGCCTGTTGTTGTTGTTGTTTCAGATTTAGCTACTCAGGACGAAGTGTCCATGTAGCACGGGCTATGGTGAGCCCGTAAACATCCTTGCCCCCATGAACTACGAATATACACTCACACACACACACTACTGGACCTCACTCCCCCTGAGTGACTACCCACTCAGTACGGGGACAAGTCCCTTCACTTATTTTCATTAATTTAGGTAGATGGTCATGTATGCCGCCACCCTAAGACTACATGAAGGGTTACACAACTTTTGTGTCATTATATCTCGTGCTACGGTCATACGAGGCGTTCACGGGCTGTGGATATCATTGACATCTATGGGACTTTTGTGATTGGAACTGGGATCACAGATGCCCCGGTTCTGTGAGCAACGACGGCCTCTTGATGCCTGTTGTGTTGGGCCGGAAGATCTCCACACACCCAAACAAAGTACACAGGATTACATTTTTTTACTCATCTACTTCCATCTGTCCCATTCCTTTGTTTTTTCTCCTTTCCCTACATCCATCTCATCCTTCTTCATCTGCAACCAATATTGCTCTTCTTTACCCCCTCTCCCTTTTTCCTTCCACATCCTTCTTTCTTCTTCTTCATCCTCTTCCTTCTCTCTCCTTCTTTCTCCTCCCTCTTCATCCTTCCCTATATTCTATTTTTCTTCCTTTGATCATCATTCTCTACCCTCCTTTCTTCAACTCTATTTTCCTTCCAGTTTGCTTCCATCTTTGCCTCCTCCTCCCTCGCCCGATTACCTCCATCTCACCCTCCCGCTTCTCCCCCTAAAAATCTTCCCCTATTGCACTTCACACGATATTAAATTACAGATTCGGAGACATCTAGCGCACTCTCTCTCTCTCTCTCTCTCTCTCTCTCTCTCTCTCTCTCTCTCTCTCTCTCTCTCTCTCTCTCTCTCTCTCTCTCTCTCTCTCTCTCTCTCTCTCTCCCCCTCCTCTTTCCCGTTTCTCATATATATTCATCTCAAAATTAATATTAATGCTCGACAAAAATAATAACTGAGAATTACATATTAACACATTAGCATCGAGTAATATCATACAAATTTATTATTTACAAAACATCCAGAGACTGAAACATTATAAAATATGAACAGGAACGTGAGATATTGCTATGGCAACAAGATTTGCTAATAATTTAATAATGTTTAAAGATTATTGTTAATGAAATATAAGAGTGTTCACCCTAACAACTGAGATGCATGTTAACAAGGCAATTCGATACCTCCTCCCCTCGTTTGGCTGACATGTGATATGTTGTGTAGTGTGGGAAAATTGTTCCAAGCGTGGGAACTACTGGATGGTTGTTATGCAGGGATGGCGGAGTTATTGTGTGTGTGTGTGTGTGTGTGTGTGTGTGTGTGTGTGTGTGTGTGTGTGTGTATATATATATATATATATATATATATATATATATATATATATATATATATATATATATATATATATATATATATATATATATATATATATATATATAAGCTGGGCGGCAGCTTTACAGTCACGTGCTCCACACCCACCCAACTGGGCGGCAGCTTTACAGTTACGTGCAGGCTGCACCTACAATAAGCACACCAGGGTTCGAACCTGCATTTTCAGGGCTCACTCCCAGGTGTACAGGGGACCATAACCATTTGACCACCGATCGCCTATAATGGTTAGGTTAGCCCTGGTGTTCATAAACTAAGTTCCACGACTAACCAAACCTTTTAAACTCTCATCGTACAATTTGGCCACAATTTTTCATCAAATCCTGGTGCATGTTGGGGCCGCGCTGAACCTAAAAATGTGAAAGGTCCTCAGGCCATATATAATTTACAAACGCTATGACCCGACCAGCGTTTGAACCTGTATACTGCACCTCTGCTTTTTTAACAGAATTATTTTGCCCTTCCTGTCATGCCTTCTGATCTCATGAGGTGCTATTCCTGTGTATAGAGTTAGAACCACTCCCTTTAATATTCTCTGTGTTAATTATAATGTATCTCCCGCCTGCGCTCTAAGGCACGCAGATTTAAAAATTGTAAGTAGTCCCAATAATTTTGATGCTTTATTGAGTGAGTTTTCATTTACATTTCATCTAGTTCATCTATGCACCTAATGCCCGTCCCGTGGGTGGTGGTGGAAAGGGTTATAGAGCACATAATGGGTTCAGGAACTGAACCCCGCAGTTCATTTAGGTAAGCAAGTGACAATCTTGCTTAGTAATTATACAATTGTTTGTATTTCATACACATATAAATAGATATACATACATTTATACATATACATATTAACAGCCTTTTTCTATCACAAGTGATTCAACAAGAGGCTCACAACAGTCACTATACAAGGCACTTTACATCTATGGTGAGTCACACAGTTACTAGTCTTGCTCCACACCCACCCAACTGGGCGGCAGCTTTACAGTCACGTGCTCCACACCCACCCAACTGGGCGGCAGCTTTACAGTCATGTGCTCCACACCCACCCAACTGGGCGGCAACTTTACAGTCATGTGCTCCACACCTACCCAACTGGGCGGCAGCTTTACAGTCACGTGCTCCACACCCACCCAACTGGGCGGCAGCTTTACAGTCACGTGCTCCACACCCACCCAACTGGGCGGCAGCTTTACAGTTACGTGCAGCCTGCACCTACAATAAGCACACCTTGGATACTTCGCTAAGATTCCCATCAGTACATCATTATGAATGAATTCTAGCAGCAAGATCTTTTTACGTTCTCCAGGTCAGTAATTTCTCCAGGTATGAATGATGCCTCTTATTGTGCAACAATATGCCGCCCTAGAGAGCATTAGTGTCTTGAAAAGTATCATCATCATCCTAGGTATGGCATCTCCTGTTTAAAAAGTTCTTGTTATCTAACCTGTCATTTTTCCTTTCAGTTGTAACAGCTAATTTATTGTGTTTTTGAAAAGTAAACGTCTTCCGACATGATTGCTTCCAAATCTTTTATATTGCTTTTTCGTTCTATAGTATGATTTGCCTGCGTTTTCACGTGTAATGACCCCGTCTCTGTCCCAAGCTAAGCTGGTCGTAGAGGTCATGATGTCTGTCCCAAGCCAAGCTGGTTACCTTGAGGTTACCTTGAGGTGTTTTCGGGGCTTAGCGTCCCCGCGGCCCGGTCGTCTACCAGGCCTCAATATATGGCTGATACCAGATACCACACCAGGTCGTAGAGGTCGTGGTCTCAGTCCCAAGCTAGGCTGGTC